TCCCACTAAAAAATAGGTAAGAGTATATTAGCATTCCCCATATATATATATATATATATATATATATATATTCTTTTTTTATATTTATATATTTTGCATAAACAACGCAATTATATTTATACATTCTTACACAGCATACCATAGTCTTTTGTAGAAGTAAATCGTGTTAAGAACAACGATATACTTTACATGACACACCAAACAAATTCAGAAGATTTCGATTTCCTAACATAGAATCTTCAAAACATTCAAATGACAAGGTAAAAACTAGAATCTTCTTATATCGAAACAACTCACAAGTAATTAGCTAGTTACCTGAACAAGTTTAGCTTCAAGAAAAACATAGTTGGACGTTTTTCCATTTTATTATCTAAACCATCATCCGCTTCACCTCTTAAAGCACCAAGAATATTAATCCCCTATTTGAATGATCTGATTTGGTTCATCAATTGCCCTAGCCCTAGTTATCTTTAATGATTTGAGCTCATCTAGCAACTGCATCAAGTTGTTGTAAGAGGATCCACCCTCCTCTATGCTCTTCTTGGCAACATCCCCAAGCTTTCTTGCTCTCATCTTCATTTCACTTCTCTCTTCTTTTCCCATAAACTGTTTCACAGCCTTTGCAATCTCTTTCCTTCCCACAATTGCGTTCTCTCCCATCCTTCCCCACAACTTGTTTTCTTTCACTCCAACTGGGACTCCAATCTTCAACACATCAACTACCAATCTCTCATTATAAAACTGCTCAGCAAAAATTGGCCATGTGATCATTGGCAATCTAGCGCACACACTTTCAAGAATGGAATTCCAACCACATTGAGTCACAATGCCTCCTGTGGCAGGGTGCTCCAGTATCTGCAACTGTGGTGCCCAGTTCCATACGATATAACCCTTATGGCTTTCTCTCATCTTCTGCTCAAACTCATGCAGGAAACTGAACTCATTCTCAGTTCCATCATTTTTCCTGATGACCCAGATAAAACTATGACCAGAATGTTCAAGACCATGAGCCAGTTCAACAAGTTGAGCATGAGGGAGCCTAACGAGGCTTCCGAAACTTACATAAAGCACAGACTCCTTTTCCTTTGAGTTTAGCCAGTTTAGCAATTCTAACTCTTGTCAAGGTCATCCCTGTGTTCCCTATTAACCCAGGTTGAAATTGGTCCCAAACTCCAAGATTTGATCCCCACGGTGCTCCTATAAAGTTGCTCATAATCACCTTCCATTTCATGAAAATTGTTGTACACTGCTCCATAGCTTCTTTTCTCTGACTCAAATATTGCATCAAAATAGCCTGTGAGAAAACTCTTAGACCTTTCCCATTCTGGTAGCTGAAGAGGGGTCATCTCTATTGCATGAGGGAAACCAGGAATTATAAACTTGTGAGAATCAGAATGCAACCTCTCATGAGGCTTGTGCTTCCTGATAGAAAGATTGGCACATGAGGAGAAGTAGCTTGAGACGTAATAGTGAAGCCTTGGAATGCCTAGTTTTGCAGCTGACTCCACTGTCCAAGGATAAAACATATCTGTGACTATACAATCCGGTTTCAGATCTTGAAATAGAAGCTCAATTTGATCTTTGAGCAGCGATATCCCATGCGTGATTTTATCAATCATTTCTTGGGAAGTGCAATCTTTGAGACTCTCAATCCCATCAGGGAGGCCAACTTGGGCTGCAGGTAATGGAATAACTTGAGTCCTGATGTTGTATCCACAACTGAAGTCAGTGTCTATGGCCTTCTGGAATGTGGAAGCATTAGCAGGAGTAGTGATGATGGTAACACTAACACCATGCTTGGAAAATAGCCTTGCTGTGTCCACCATGGGGATCATATGGCCAGGTGTTAGATATGGAAGAAAAATGACATTAAGTTGGTGCTGTGATTGAGCTTCCATTGCCATAGCAATTGCAGTCTTTGAATGAGAACAACTGGAAATGAAGGATATGTTGTTGTGGGGGGTAACTGGTACTATTTATAATTTTTTTAGATGCATTGGTAATGGTTTTAAAAAGAGGATTTTTAGGCTTTGATTGGATTTGAGAATGGAAAAGACCTATTCTAGCTCTTCCAAACTTTGCTCAAACCTTTGAGTTAGAATGTGTTGCATCTGGTTTTGGCATTGGTGTTGTGCTACTTCAAGGAGGTCACCCCATTGCTTACTTTAGTGGAAGACTTCATGGGGCCACCTTGAACTATCTCACCTATGACAAAGAACTTTATGACCTTATAAGAGCCCTCCAAGTTTCGGAGCACTACTTGGTGACTAAAGAATTCATAATACACACCGAACATGCGTCACTCAAGTACATTAAAGGGCAAGGGAAGTTAAATAAAAGGCATGAAAAGTGGGTGGAATATCTTGAATAATTTCCCTAGATCGGA